TGATGTTTCTCTCTCATCAACGTTTTTAGCTCTCTATCCCTCTCTCCTCCTCTCTGCAAAAAATCAATAAAATATATATTTTTAAAAATTTATTTTGTTTTAATCTTGTTTTAGTTCGTAAAATTGCCCTTAATCGTAGGATTCAGGTTTTTTTTTAACTTTTGAAAAGTTCATATAGATAAATTGAGACATGATGAGCAGCTTAGTTCTAATAACAGCAGCATGAATGCTAAGTATATGCCACACATGAGAAATGATGACACAGCTGGATACACTACAATATTTGCTTTACCCTTGATTCTTAAATTCTCTTATAAAGTGTGTCTCTATTTTGAAGAACTGAGTCTGAGAGAGGATAAGAAGCTTGTCTAAGATCATATAGCTAAGATGGTAGAGCCATCCCTATCCAAGCCCAGAAATGTGGATTATTTTTACTTTATAGTTAAAATATTTATGGTATACTTTTAAAAAAAATATACTTCTATTGATTTCAGAGAGAAAGGAAGGGGCGGTGGACATCAGTGGTGAGAGAGAATCATTAATAGACTGCTCCTATCCTGCACACCCCCAACAATGTTTAACTTTTTTTATATAGCAAAGATAGAAATTTACTGAGAAACAAACACAGACTCCCATGTGGAGAGGGGGAAAGAGTCCCCTGTTTAACTATTTTTAATTATTAGGGCATTTTCTCAAGAAGAGTACTCACTAATTTGATGATTTCGCAGTGTTTCCCAAAGTGTGGTCCGCGTACCCCCAGGGGTAGGGGAAGAGTTTGGTGGGGGTATGCGTTGCACCGGAGTTTGGTGGGGATATGCACTGCACCGTGCTTAGCTGCGCCTAATTCTACGTTCTCATGAGTACAAGGGGTACTCAGCGTAACGAAAATTATAGAAGGGGTACACGTATGTCAAAAATTTGGGAAACACTGATTTAAAAGAAAGAAAACAAGCCCCAGCTAGCTGGTTTGGCCCAGTGAATACAGCGTCAGCTTGCCGACTGAAGGGTCTCAGGTTTGGTTTGGTCAAGGGCACATGCCTGGGTTGCAGGCTTGATCCCCAGTAAGGGGGTGTGCAGGAGGCAGCTGATCAATGATGTTCATCAATGTTTCTATCTCTCCCTCTTCCTTCCTTTCTGAAATCAATAAAAATATATTAGGGAGAAAGAAAGAAAACAAGGACAACTGACAGAAAGATCTGTAGTAAAGTTATCTGTATTTATTTATAAATATTAAAGACACTGTATTCTGAACAGCTTCATATCTGATGTACATTAGAACCCTATTCTAAAACATCCACCCTCCATTAGAAAACTGCCGTAGTAGAAAGCATTGCTTCTTAAGACAGCACATACATTTGTTAAATTTGTCCTGTGGAAGCAATTTCACTGAACCTAAATCTGTTTTTATATTTGTCTCCTTGTGGCAGCCCATACATCTCTTCAAGCATTAAATTTCCTCCCAGGCTCCCAGCTCTCCTCTTCTGCTCTCATTCATACACTACCAGATTTCTCTTTTAATTTTCCTATTGACCCTCCTTCACATGACATATCTATCTCATTTCTTCTTAACAATGTAAATAGAAACTAAAATCATAAATAAATAGCAAAATATAAACAAACCTATGGTAACCTCTGCATAGCCATGATCAGGGAGAACTCCCGCTGCTGCTGCTGCTGCTGCTGCTGATTCTTTGTACTCCTTTGGAGTCATCCCTTTATTATTATTTTAATAATTATTTTTAAAATATTTTTTATTGATTTCTGAGAGAAAGAGAACACCAATGATGAGAAAGAGTCATTGATTGGCTGCCTCCTGCACTCCCCACACTGGGGATAGAGCCTGCAACCTGGGCATGTTTTCTTGACCGGAATCAAACCTGGGACCCATTAGTCCATAGGCCAGTGCTCTATCCACTGAGCCAAACCTGCTAGGGCTCATCCCTTTATTATTAAGATAATTTGAAAATGACTCTTATCTTAAGACAAAAGCTGAAATGTGCTTTTGTCGTGAGATAAGATTGCTATTGGTAGGTTTGTAGTGCTTTATAAATATACTAGAGGCCCCGTGCACTGTATTTGTGCACGGGGTTGTGTGTCCCTCAGCCCAACCTGCACCATCTCCAATCTGAGATCCCGCTCACAATTCAGGACTGCTGGCTCCCAACTGCTTGCCTGCCTGGCTGCCTGATTGCCCCTAACCACTTCTGCCTAACAGCCTGATCACCCCCTAACTACTTCTCTGCCAGTCTGATCGACACCTAACTGCTCCCCTACCGGCCTGATTGCCCTTCCCTGCCAGCATGGTCACCCCCAAATGCCCTTTCCTGCAGGCCTGTTCCCCCCCCCCCCCCACTCTACTGCCCTTCTCTGCAGGCCTGATCCCCCCCCATTGCCCTCCCCTACAGGCCTGGTAACCCCCCCCAACTGCCCTCTCCTACAGGCCTGGTCACCCCTAGCTGCCCTTCCCTGCAGGCCTGGGTCCACCCCCCAACTGCCCTCCTCTGCTGGCCATCTTGTTGCGGTCATCTTGTGTCCACATGGGGGTGGCCATCTTGTGTGTTGGAGTGACAGTCAATTTGCATGTTACCTCTTTATTAGATATGATAATTAGGATTGCTTTTTCTCAGTGTTTCTTCATTGCTCAGCCTCTTTCTACCCTTCATTGACTGAAACCCGATATTTATATCATCTCTGATTTTGCAGAATTGATCTGTCCTTATATTACATTTACATTGATTCCATATGGAACATAAATTGTTTTTCTGACCCATGTATATTCCATAGCCCTTGCAATCTGTAACCATGCAGCATAACTTGAATCTGATTAGTTCAATGAAAGGAATGCCCTAAAAGTTAGTGTGCAGCCTGCTAATAAAAACAGTAAAGTCTGCCCTGGCCTGTGTGGCTCATTTGGTTGAGCATCGTCCCAGGCACCAAAAGGTTGGTCAGGGCACATGCCCAGGTTGCAAGGTATGATCTCAGTTCTGGGACATGTTTGGGAGGCAACCTAGCGATGCCCCTTGCCCCCCCTTTCTTTCCTCCCTCCCTCTCACTCTCACTTCCTTCCCTCCCTCAAATTAGTAAACATCCTCAGGGAAGACAAAAATAAAAAATAAAGTCTGCTTGAGAAATATAAAAATTTATAAGAAAGACTATATAAGTTAGTATTGGATTCTATTTAAAGTGAATAAGGCAGTATAGTGTTTGCCTAAATAACATAACCTTCTTGAGAAATGATGACTTAGCTGGAATTTCTGACTAAACTTGATCTTAACAGTATAAGTGTGACTTGTTAAGATGGTTCTTTGAATGTCAAGAATGCTCTAATCACTTTTTAATATTAAGAATTGAAATATTTTGATTTTTTTATTAAATTTGTTTTTAAAAATTGACAGACAGTGGAGATTCACTTGTGATATTGATACATGATTTCATTTAGCTAAAGATTGCATGGATATGCCAAGACCGGTTTGTCTCAGTGGATAGAGCGTCGGCCTGCAGAATGAGGGGTCCCGGGTTTGATTCTGGTCAAGGGCATGTGCATTGGTTGCAGGCACATCTCCTGTGGGGGGTGTGCAGGAGAAAGCTGGTCGATGTTTCTCTCATCAGTGTTTCTGGCTCTGTATCCTTCTCCCTTCCTCTCTGTAAAAAATCAATAAAATATATTTTTTTAAAAAAGATTGCATGGATAATTGCAGTTAATCCCTATTGTTGGTATGTAACATAGGGGGCTAAAAACAAGATCTAGATGAAAAAAGATGGTGGCTTGGACTAGGGTGAGTATGGTAAAGATAGTCAGAAGTAGTCATATTCAGGGTATATTTATTTATTAAAGGTAGAACTGTCATAATTTGATGTTGAGAGAGGAAGATATTTTGAGTGACCTCAAGGTTTTTTGCTTAAACAACTGGTAAAATGAGTTGCCCTTATTTAACATAGGAAAACTGTTGTGGAAGGAGCCACGTTCTGTATACCAACAGATGTTTAAGTCTGGCTGACATTGTAGTCACTAAAGAAAGCTTATGAGGCCGGGACTTGTTTGGCTCAGTGGATAGAGCGTCGGCCTGGGAACTGAAAGGTCCCGGGTTCGATTCCGGTCAAGGGCATGTACCTTGGTTGCGGTTGCATCCCCAGTAGGGGGTGTGCAAGAGGCAGCTGATCGATGATTCTCATCGATGTTTCTAACTCTCTATCCCTCTCTCTTCCTCTCTGTGAAAAATCAATAAAATATATTTAAAAAAAAAGAAAAAAAAAGAAAGAAAGCTTATGAGGAAGTGTGCACTGAAATAGATTGAAAGATTGTGTGTGGACCAAAGGGTCACTATGTTATATTATCAGAGTATCATACACAGTATGTTAGCTGTTAGATGTTCTCTATAACTTGCCATAAATAGTTTAACTAGGAAATCTTTATTATAAAGTAAAACTTAAAATCCTCAGTGTTTATAATTGTCGAGCCCCTTAGTTGTGAAGTGTTGTTGTAAAGCTACTTCCGGGTACACAGTGCGCCAAGAACTCTAATTGTACATTCCTATTTTTGCTTTTGGAAGACAATATTTTATCCATAGTAATTCTGGATTTTATTTCTTGAGATGGGGGATTTTTAGTTCAAGTTCAGGTGGCAGAGAAGAAATTCAATAAGAGATGAAATTCATTACATTTTCAACCATTTTTCTGTAGCTGTAAAATGGAGAAATAATAGCAACTATGTTGTAAGTTAAACCCTTTAGTTCCAAAAGAGTAAATGTAGATTTGTTGTTCTTTTATACATGGTACATGTTTCAGTTATGTTCTTTTAAATATAACAATATTTTTATTCTTGGTATTTAAGGAAACTTTAGCCAAATATTTCATACATAATTTAAATTGTTATTTTCCTCATACATATTGGCTGAAAACATTTAACTTGCAAACTTTTCTTATGTGCTACTGTCTTATTTATCTAGCACTTGGATTTTCAAACACATTTTGACCCCCAACTATGGTTTTTGTCATTGCAGGCAAGAAGACAACAAGACCCTAGTCCTGGTGCCAATCTAGGTGGTGATGACTTCAAACTTCGTTAATTAGGAGCACAGCAGATGTGCCCCCCAAATCGTTTCGTGTACATTGTTTCTAGTCGACAAAAATAATTGATTAAAAGACCAGAAACTGTGATAACTGGAGGTACTACATACAGCCTATCTCTCAACCTTAGGCAGTAACAAGACATCACAAACTGCCATGGTTTTGCACTATGATTATAATACCTGAATTTCTAATTTTGTATGCATGTAGCCAGTAATGATTTTACATTTTTTCTATGCAAACTTACCTTGATGGCATTATTTTAGTGAGTTGAAACTATCTACTTGTAAAGCTCTTATTTGTCCTCCATCTTAATTTAAAAGTTCATGTCATTTAAAAACAAGTCAAGAAATTGAAATTTTTATCAGAGGGTTTTATTCCTAATCAGTTACTCTAATTTTTCTTTTTTGTGATTTTAGGTGTGTTATACAGCTGCATTTTAGCTAGGCATTCTTATTTTTTTGTTTTGTTTCCCCATTTTCTTTTGTGTTTTGGCATTTTGTCTATGGCATTTTAAAACTGCTGATGTGTTAGCATTATTTACAAGCTAAAACCCTAGTAGCATAGAGCTGTCTGCCACAGCCTTCTAACAAAGTTTACAGTTAAAGTTGCAGTATCCTTTTAAATGTTGATAATCAGCTCCTTTTCTTTCCTTCTTAAATATAAAATTTTTTAATTGGCATTGACTCTCATCTTCCCCAGATTTATTGTAGGTTCTGTTCTATAATCATGAGTTTGTGTGGAGATATTCTCCTTAAATAATAATATTCTACTGAAATGCCTAAAGAAGTCGCAGGCTGGCTTCTGTTTTATTCAGGGATTTTCTTTTTTTTACGTCAATCAAAAAAGGGATACTGGAGCTTCTTCATGTATGTAACAACATATTAAACTGGAGACAGTGATGAATCAGCTACAAAGGTAATATTGTATTAAAATCATGTTTAAGATAGCTGCTTTTATGTGTATTTTATAATGCATGCTTTTGTAAAAACAATGCTGGATGATAAAACATTAGTCTTAGAGAGAAAATGTTCATCTGTGCAAAGGATACATTTTCTTCCATTAATTATTATGGGGGGGAAATTAACAGGTTATATATATGGTATTTTCCAAAAGGACTATTAGTAGAACCTTTTGAGATGAATTAGTATGGGAATATTTTTTAAATAGGCTCACTGTCAAAGTGAATGCAACTTGTTTTTGTTTTGTTTTGTTTTTAATACAAGACTGGAAAAAAGTGCTAAGTCATTTGGCAACTCCTTACAAATATTTTTCATGGTTACATTCATTAAATGTTACTACATTTCTGAATTTTTTGCAAAAATGTATTTTATCATAATAGAATGGCATTATTTTAAAGAATTTGAAAAACTGACATGGTCAGTTCAGAAAATGAACTGAATTCTGAATGAGGTCATTGCATTTAAAACATATATATATGTATACACTAGTATAGATATATATATTCATATATATACTTGATTGATGAGGGAGGTATGACTTTCATTGTACATAGGTCTTATAATTCATAAACATATCCAGTATCTCAGAATAAAAATGTTTGTTTTATATTTGAATTCATGCATGGTAAAGGAGTGTGTTTAAATTGTTATAAACAATAATACATCATAAAAGACCATGCTAATCTTGTGTAACTAAGTACTATGAATGAATTTGGTTGTTATTTGATGTTGTACAGCTCACATGTTTACACACTCAGTGCCCTAATTTCCCCTGAGGGAATCGCCTTTTAAGTGGTCCTTACAGTGGTGTTTTAAGGTTACTTTATCACAAAGCTCCTTGGTTTTTGACTTCTGCACTTAAAAATTTTTTTTTAATAACAATGATGATGTTGGTACATTATTCTCTATTGCTTTTAGTCCACCAGTAATTATGATCAAAAGCTATTAAGTGTTCATGTTGCCATTCTTCTGTAAATACTGAATTTCCCCTGTCATTTAGCATTGTGCTGCTTTTGTCTGTCTTAATGCTGGCATTAAGATCATGAGCCCTTTTTCTCCAATAGTGCAGACTTTGAAAACTACTTTTATTAAGTTATTGATGCAATCTGATATTTTTTCAAAATTTATATTTAAACAAAATTACACCATTGCATCATCTTTTCTAAATTCATCTCCATTAAAACTTGCCTTAACCTACCAGATTGCTTTTGCCACTATTAGCCATACTGTGTGTTTGTATGTTTAATTTACTTTCACAATAAAGTTCTGTAGTGAAAACAAGGTCTTGGCTCTTTTATTGGACATAGTCCAACAGTTTCTCTTCTAGTGTTCATTATGATGTGAAAATTGATTTTGTTATTCTGAACTGTTCTTTCATCCTGTTTTATAACCTTAAAAAAACAACAGTGTCATCTAGTGGTCATTTCTCTTAATTCCAAAGAAAATGTTTAATGAAACATCACAAAGAATACTAATTTCCCTATGTATATTGTGGTTTTCAAAAGTCTGGCTTAATTTACCCATCCAATGAGATATGACTATAAAGTAATGATGTCATTTTGGAGGGAAGGAAGAATTTTAAAAATTACATATCCAAATTAGTATCATCTTTCAAGCTAGTACCTGAAAATTAAGCCTTTTTTATTTTAGAAGCAGTCTTGAAGCTTGCTCCATGTGAAAATATTTATTCACCACCAGACTTAACTGTAAATGACAGATAATTTTAAATGCTGAATTGGGACCATTAAGCAACATTCCAAAGAATAAGATTCATACTCAGGGTTAATTTCAAAAGTTGTTATATCATGTATTCAAGATATGCTCATTTGGGGCCGCTTGGGAAGAGAAGTATCTTACTTGATTATGCTTCATTTAGCAATGAGCTTTTTCTTTTCTTTTTTTAATATATTTTATTGATTTTTTTTTTACAGAGAGGAGGAGAGAGGGATAGAGAGCTAGAAACCTCGATGAAAGAGAAACATCCACCAGCTGCCTCTTGCACACCCCCTACTGGGGATGTGCCCACAACCAATGTACATGCCCTTGACCAGAATCGAACCTGGGACCTTTCAGTCCGCAGACTGACTTGCCGGGAACCAGGAACAGGGAACCAAAACCTAGCATTGTCACTGGAGATAAAATGTAAAAAGAGCTAGCTGACCTTGATGGCTCTGAATGATCAGAGGTATTAACTCATTGTATAGTTGAGATAGTGGTGCTTGAGGCAACTTTAATTTGTTAATCATATGTAAATGTAAGTTGATTTTCTGCTGTTGGAACTTCCTCCTTAAGAAATGTCTTTGTTTCAGAATCTCAATAAAAGGAATGGTAAAAGGCTAGAGAGCGGTTAGTCTTCCCACTAGAGGTAGACTTCCCGCCTGGCCCCCATTTTCCCAAATTAACTCTTTTCCAGTCTCTCTCTTCATTTTAGTGTGCGGCCTTCTCCAGAAACCGGACCCTGAGTGGGCCCTGAACCACGCGGGTCGTGTTAAGGGATCCCACACTGACGCTTCGGTTTCAGCAAGCAATGAGCTTTTTCAAGCCATAAGCCATTGTATGGATTTTCCATTGCTGCATAACACATTGCCCCCAAAACTTAGCATAAAATAAACATTATTTTATAGATTCTGTGGGTCATAATGGAAGAAGCTTAAGTTTGGTGTTCTGGTCAAAGGTCTCTCCTGAGGTTAGAGTCAAATTGTCAGTCTAGTAGCTTGGTCATCTTAAAGCTCCCTTCCAAGCTCTCTCATGTGGTCATTGACTGGCCTCAGTTTCTCACAGACCATTGGTTGAAAACCTTTGATTCCGCCGAAACCGGTTTGGCTCAGTAGTAGAGCGGAGGTCTGCAGACTGAAAGGTCCCCGGTTCGATTCCGGTCAGGGGCATGTATGTTGGTTGCGGGCACATCCCCAGTGGGGAGTGTGCAAGAGGCAGCTGGTCGATGTTTCTCTCTCATCGACGTTTCTAGCTCTCTATCTCTCTCCCTTCCTCTCTGTAAAAATCAATAAAATATATTTAAAAAACAAACAAACAAAAAAACCCTTGATTCCTAGCAAGGTGTTGGAATGGAGACCTCCTCCACATGAGTGTCTCCATAAGGCAGCTCACAGCTCAGCAGCTGGCTTCTCCCAGCGCAAGTGACCCAAGAAAAAGTGTATGCCCATGACGAAAGCCACAGTCTTCTTAATTTATTCTTTGGGTTGCAATAGTCTGTATGTTAGAGTGAGTCACTGGGTCAGGCCCACGCTCAAAGGAATAGTAATCTTCATCTCCTGAAGGAAGGCATGTCAGAGTTTGTGGACACATTTTAAACCGACCACAGCCATTTTGCCACATCTATGTGCATATGCAAGACAACACTGGTGTTTTGATCTCCCAAACATCTTTAGAGAGATTTTATTTTGCAGGCAGATTTCAAGGCACGATTCCCGCTAGATAACATCAATTTCCTTTCACTTTAGCCTTCGAAAATTTAGTGTTCGAGTTGAGATGCACTACTAGTGTAAAATATCAGAGAGCAAAGATCTAGTACCCCCCAAAAAGGAATATAGAAAATGTCACTTTATTTTGATTACATATAAATATTTTTGTATACTGAGTTATATTATTTGATGTATTTGGTTAAATAAAATATTTAAATTTTACCTTTTTAATGAGGCTACTAGAAAAAATTTACATATATTGGCTCACATCAATATTAAAATTTTAAGTGGTCAAAGTATAGATGATACAATCAAAAGAGAAAAGTTTTGGAAGACTGAGGCTTACTATTACTGGGTTTTGTTAATCCTCACTCAAGGATATTTTTTCCATTGATTTTTAGGGAGCAGGGAGGCGGAGAGAAACATTTATTAGTTGCCTCCTGCACATACCTCTACCAGGGCTTAGGGATCAAATCTGCAACCCAGGTATGTGCCTTTGATCAGGAATCTAACCTGCGACCCTTAGTGCTCCGGGCTATGCTATAACCGCTTAGCCACATCAGTCAGTGCTATGACTGGGTTTTGTTTTTTTAAAAAATATATTTTATTTATTTATTTATTTATTTATTTATTTATTTATTTTTACAGAGGAAGGGAGAGGGATAGGATAGAGAGTTAGAAACATCCATGAGAGAGAAACATTGATCAGCTGCTTCCTACACACTTCCCACTGGGTATGTGCCCACAACCAAGGTACATGCCCCTGACCAGAATTGAACCTGGGACCCTTCAGTCCCCAGGCCCACGCTCTACCCATGAGCTAAACCAGTCAGGGCTGGTTTTTTTGTTTTGTTTTTGTGTGTGTGTTTTTAAGATTAAAACAAGCTCTAGCCAGTTTGGCTCAGTGGATAGAGCATTGGACTAAAGGGTCCCGGGTTCGATTCTGGTCAAGGACACATGCCTGGGTTGTGGGCTCAAGCCCCAGTTAGGGATGCACAGGAGGCAGACAATGTTTCTATATCTCTCTCTCTAAAATCAATAAAAATATTAAAAGGAAAAGAAAATATTATTTTATCCCCTAGGGTCATTTGTGGGGGTTGTATATTCAGTGCCCAAAATAGACTGGTCTCTGCCCTCAGGGTACATCTAACCTGGTCTGGGTGATCAAAAAAAGGCTTTCTTGAGACATTTGAGGTGAAATCTGAAGGATGGTAGACACTGTGCCAGTAAAGATAAGCTGACAAAAGTATTACAGGAAGCCAGGCCAAAAGCATGGCAAAATTGAGCAACCAAGCAGTTGAGTATGATTAGAACATGGAATGGAGGGGGCTGTAGCAGTGAGAAGAATCTGAAAGGGTCTGCCGGGGCTAGCATGAGAGTCCTGCGCAGTCCGGGTGGACTTTTCCAGCCATGCTAAACGGTTGGGGCTGTTTCCAAGGGCAGACACAAAGCCATTGGGTTGGTTGGGTTTGAGGGAGTTACTTGATGTAAAGTTGGCAGTGGTGGTTGATTGGAAAGAAAAAAACTAGTTGAAAGTCCCATGGATCATAGGGTCACCCAGTAGATTAAGGGTAGCTTAATGAACATTTTAGAGCCGAGAAGCAGGTACAGGAGGCATAATTGACCATTTTCCCAGTTTTTCTTATCATGATAGACTAGTTGTGTTGCCTTAACACTCCTACATTTTTACT